TGATTTTTTTCTATTATCCACAGAGACTTCCAGGATGAGCTAAGACTCACATGTGCAATACAAATGAGATAAGCAGTAGAAATAAAAGATAAACAACCAAAAAAAAAAAAAAAAAGAAAATCCCTGTAAAGTTACTCAGGGGCTCCAGGGAGGAAGAGAAGGAAGAAGGAAAGGAAAAAGCCCACAAGCCTATTTCCCATCCTTTATTTAGATCACCTTTATACAGCATCTGACTGCAATAACACAGCTAGCAATGGCCCCTTCTTTTGTTTGATGGCTTTTGTAAATATGAGGTTCAAACAGCAGCTCTAAAAAGTCTTCGCTGTTGAGTTATTATGAAAAATATTCAGATGTTGTGCCCTCCCATTGGGTGCCCTTAGGTAAAGCTCCGGCTGATCTCAAAGATAATATTCTTTAATGCTATTTAAATATGAACACTATTACTTTTTCAAAGCATCTATCATTTTCATCAAAGCAGAGCTTCTTGATGAGATCCTGCCACATAAACCTTTATCAGCAGCGCAGTGCCCCGAGACACCACCCGCGCTCCACAAGCAGCCCAAAGCCGACGCGAGGGGATTGCTCAGCTCTGCTGAGAGCCATGCTGCGAGCAGGTCGGGGCCTCTCCTCAATATGCAAGGAGCGATGCTCCCCAACAGTTACAGAACAAAATATGCTGAAAAATACCCTCATACCAGGAGACCACTGGGGAAATGTTGAAAAGTACTTCCTCTGTAGTAAGAACTAGGTCAATGCATCTTATGAAGAAGTGGCTCTGTGCTGGTGTCAATGGTGTAATTTCTAGGCTGCTGATCAGCACAAATAGCTGGCTGCAGGTGGAAGACTTCTCTAATTCGGATGCACACAGTGGTCTGAAAGCTTTTGGGGGAGGAGGGAGAGTTTGCTGCAAAGACTTACCTGGAGATCGCTCAGACTGACTTATGGTTGTAGTGAGGTGGGTGTTGGGCTCTTCTCCCATGTAGCTAGCGATAGGATGAGAGGAAATGGGCTTAAGCTGCGCCAAAGGAGGTTTAGGTTGGAAATTAGGAAAAATTTCTTTACGGAAAGGGTGGTCAAGCATTGGAACAGGCTGCCCAGAGAGGTGGTGGAGTCACCATCCCTGGAAGTGTTTAAAAAACGGGTAGATGTGGCACTCTGGGACATGGTTTAGTCTAGTCTACCCTTGATTGGCTTAGAGTAGACTTGGTAGTGTAGGTTAATGGTTGGACTGGATGATCTTAAAGGTCTTTTCCAACCTAAACGATTCTATGATTCTATGATCGCTGAAAGTGAGTTGAGGAAAAAATGACCGACTCTTCATTTATTTAAAACAAGAATATGGCACAGGGGTCAGCTGCACGAAGTGAAGGTCGGGCCAAATTCCCACTTAAGGACGCTATGAACTGGAGGTTGCACAGCACCCAGGAATGAAGCCTGTTATGAGTTGAGGGAAAAAGGGAGGGCGTGGGTACATCACCAGTCTCCACAGGGCCACTGCTTCTGTCAAGGCAGGGACAAGGACTGCAGTACTTCAGCACGACTAGGGATGCAGTGCTTAAACAGGTAAAAGCAGATCTTTCTGCTTCAGAGAAGGCAATCCCAGTATAAACTCAAAAGCACCTGAGTGCGACAATGGTATCTGCAACTTCAAGCTCAAAACAATACTAAAAACTATTTCCAAAATAAAAAAAAAAAACCACCCAACAGAATTTATACGAAGAAAGAACCAAAAGCTGAAAACCTGAAATAAGCAGAGCCCAAAACACAGCCATCTCTGTAATTTGCTCCACTTTCCACTTCTTGCTTGTAAGCTATACTTACTCATATACCAATAATGCTGTGCGTAGAAATTAGCACATTAGCACTTTTTTATCTTGATGAAAGGCAGGCACGTTGAGTTTTCAGAGACACCTTATCAATGTGGGCAGGGGGAAAGGAGAGAAACATGCAGGGCTGGAAACATTTAAGGGGCAACAGAGAGAATTCAACCGTAAACTGGACCGGATTTGCCACAAGGCCACGGTCAGCATCAGTGGCGCAGAAGTAGTTCGGAACAGACAGTATCATCTGCTGTTAACATATAGGTATCTACAAGACCAAATGATTTGAAAATGTCACAGTCACCAAGCAAACCTTGACTGAAGGACAGTCTGAATACTAGTATTTGAAAACCGGGAAGATCAGTAAATCCAGAGTTTCCTCTTTCAGGTCCATTACATCTCCCCAGAAAACTGAAACACATTCAGATGCCAAACACAGCAACAGCCGTGTTTAGACAAGAACCAAAAGCACTTAAATACAGCCTTTTTTGAAGAAGAAATATGCATCACCAGCAAATCACTCAGCCCAGAACTGCAGCTGGTTCACAGTAACAGCAGATTTTACACCTTTTAACTACAGATTATGCTAAGGGGTCCAATCCTACTCCTAGAATTGCTCATGTCTCCCAGACTTTGCAGCACAGAGATTAGTACTGGGTTTCCCTACTATTGGTATCAGTTTAGGGAGTACAGCAACACCTGCTGATCTCAGGAGTAAACTGGATAGGGTGCATTCCCCTCTCTGCCCCCAGCAAGGCGCCTTACGCGTTCTGCGTGAAATAAACTGAGAAAATAAATACTGGGACCTCACTTCAAGCTGTTTCTAAACAGCAGACCCTATTTCTTCACACTCAGCTCCACAAAGTAAATTAAAGGAGGATATCTTTAGTCCAGCAAATACATCGCAGTCAACTATAAAGGCAAAATATAGAATTGGATAAGCGTGTCCATTGTTCTCAAATGTTTGTGCCATCCCCTTTGTTCCTCACTGTTCCTTGCACCACAGCTGCCTGGTTTGGCTAAGCCTTAGGAACAACCTTGCTTAGAGCTAACGTTGCCATCGTGTGGCAACCTTCACAAACAAAACGGTACTTCTGCAGTTTTCTGTATCCCTGTAGCTTTAAAGAAAGGACAAACCAGCACAGGTGGCACAACACTAATGGTTCGAAAGAAAGGTGGACTACTGACACGATACAGAGCTGGGAAAGGTTTCAGAGAGCTTTCATGAGTTGCTAGAAGGAGCATCAGATGCTGCTCACATGGAACATGCTGCCAGAAAGACATGGCACAGGTACCAAAGACCGGTATATTCCATTATTTCTCTTCTCCCCTTTGGTCCAAGTTAAAAAAAAACCAGTACTTTCACAGCAGTTGATGGGAGACATGGTATTACAGAGCCAAGTTTTCTTCTAAAGCACATAACGCTCTCTAGTGCTACCAGCATCCTAAACGCCCCTCTCCCCCAGCACGCCCCTTTCCATGGCGCAGCGCCAGGGCTGACGCAGCCGGCCCGCAGGCAGGCAGCCCTCCCTTTAGGCGCCTTGTAAGGTTCCTCTTCAGGGAAATGGTTACAGCACGCTTTGTATCATCGAAATGTTTCAGGTACCTCAGCAGCTGCCGAGTGGCGTCGGTGGGAATGAAAACACTGGACAAATTGCTGCAGTCTTGGCCAAAGTTATTCCGTGGAAGCAAGTACCCTTAAAAACGAGCAAACGTAAAAAAAGCATTTGGGAGCTCGTTATGATTGAAGGCACATCTATTTTCTCTACAGGCACTTTTACCAATTTTCCCCCAGTCTTACATAAGTGAGCTTAACGGCAGTACATAAAAACCCCAAAAGAGCCCTAAGGAACAACTCTTGCACCTTAAAGGACCTCCAGGTTGATACACCTTTCAAGTTACCTTCAAGTTAAGAGAATTGCAGAGTAGGTGGATTTAATGACTTTAGAATCCAATTTAAAATCAAGATCTCCAGATGCTCGAACATGGGTTTTAATCTCAATTTGCATAATTTCTGATTTTTTTTTTCCTTAGTTGTTATACTCATTCGTATCAACCATGTGCTTGAACTCAATTTCCAAAGGCATATAAATAGCTCAGGACAACATTGTGTAACTTTTAAGTGTTTGAGCATACAGATGCCCAATTCTGGCTGAAATAAGCAACTCTAGCCATGTAACTACTTAAAAGCACATGCTTATCAGTGTATTTCACAATATATATTTGACAATATATTTAAAGGTCCTAATACCTTCAATTTTTAAAATACATATTCTCCCTCCTCCATTTTATATGACTGTAAAAATAATTTGCTTTTCAGTTACAAGAGATCTCAAGACTTCCACAATTTCTTCATTCAATATGAAGAAAATATATCCCCTGCTAACAAACTACACAGGAGAAAACATAGGAAAAGATGGATGCTGACATTCAGAGACATGTAAACATTATTTTATAGTGCAAAGACTAAATCGAGCACCTCAATGTTTCAGATGAGTCGAGTAATTTTTAGGTCATGTCCACTTTTACTTAATGGCTTTGATTAAAAAGCAGGAATTATATGCCACAGTTTAAGGAACTATAATTAGGCTCAGGTCTTGACATAAGCTCTTAATTTTAAACATTCTGCAAAGCAAGCATGCTTAAACACAAGTCACCAATTCCCATCTTGTTAATATATCACTCATTATTGTACCTGCACTTACAGGACAACTGTGGTGTTAGACATTGAAAGTATGGAAGTATTCCAGGTCGCTGCTTAAAGAATAGTGGAAGTTTTTTAGAAAATATGGAGTAATTTAAAGCATTTGAACAGCAATTTGTCAGTCTTTCAAACACTGACATACTTATATTCTAACCCGAACACATACTTTCAGTTTATGCCTTAATCAATTACACTAATTATTCTGTATAAATTATTTCTCATCTTTCACACCCAAGACTGTGCAAGTAATTTCGTTCATTGCCAACCATTTCAATAGGAGACTGCTTTAAAATGTCAGGATCTGACCTACTTCAAATAACTGGGTATGCAAATATTTCAACTGGCATTGGGTATAAAATAGTGAGCATAGTCTGTGTGGTCAACTTCACAGAACGTGGCAAAAACATTTCTGCGTGTTCCAGGGAAACAGCAGAACCCAACATTTGGACAGTAATAAATGAGACGGACAACAATTCTTGGTCAGAAGCAAAAGTGAAGTTATGATTACAACTTAAATCAGCTGTTTAACCATTTGCTAACTTTGACAAATCAGAACAAGGGCACAAAGTCATACATAACTAGAAGTTCATTTTATTTCTGTGCCTTCTGTGCCTTCGGCGCCTTCTCTGACTTCGGCGCCTTCTCTGACTTCGGCGCCTTCTCTGACTTCTCTGGCTTCTTGCCTTTTTTAGAAGACATCTTCTGGAGCTTCTTCATTTCGTGCTTGATGATCCTGTTTCTCTGTAAAAAAGGAAAATGTTTACTATTCATCAGAATGAAAACACCAACAGCTCAAATATTATGCCTTAATTTCAATTCTAAGTTTTCAGATTCTGCCCTTTTTGATAATTGCCCTTTGCTAACCAGTTATATTTATATTCCATAGTCAAAAGATTTACCATGTATTACATTTAAAATGTCAAATTCCACCTAAAACTGTTCCGATCTACCAAGGGGACAACATCATTCTGGCTAGTAACTTGGGCACCCCAATATTTCATGTGTAATGGCTTTCATTATAGAATGGAATACTAACAGCAACCCATCAAGAATATCTGATTTCATCACCAGGTAATTCCTTCCTCAGCTCTAACTTGGAGGACTGACACACAAATCATGTGGGTTTGAGTGATCAACAACTGAAGAGAAAGCAGTGGCCAAAGCAGCATGAAAAATTCAAGGTATTCACATACTTTGTGTCACTCCATAACCCAAGCCAGCTATAAAAGTAAAGCTACTAGCATCTGTATGCGACTCTAAAGTCAAAGCAACAAACATTAACCCCATAAAGAAGCGACACTCAAGCACTCACCATTTTCTTTGCTTTCATAACCTTGTAGCGATCAAAGTCAGTCATTTTGGCTTTCTGTTTGAAAAGAATCAGTCATGAAGCTCTGATATATACATATGCAAGTAGTAAAACACAAGTGTTTCAAAGCATTCCACCAGTAATTCTGATCATCTCCAAATTAGGTTTAGCTGCACATCTGGAACTAGTTTACTATTTAAGGCCTTTGCTGGGAAGTGATAGTGCAGGAAAAAAAAAAGGTGGCTATAGAAATAACTGAACAAAACCATATTTACTGTTAAAATACAAGAAGTTGAAGCTGATAGGTAGCAACTTCTAAAAATCTATGCCTTGTCTATCTTTAATCTTAGCCTGCAACTGAAAACGCACAGTTTATTAGATTGCACCTAATTTTAATAAGCAGAAGCAGTACAACATGTATTACTCATACAGTAGAAAACTGTACCTTTTCTCGGGCTTCAATCTTCTTTGCCCATCTCGTCGCTGCCCATTTTTCATTTATATTTTCCTTCTCCCAGGCAAGTCGCACACACTTCTGACGAGCACTGCATTAGAACAGTCACAAAATTATATTCACAGTCTTTATAAAAAAAGGTTCTCTCTGATGCTGACCCACCAAGTCTCATACAAGTGAAGATCACCCTTCAATGTTACTTCAGTCACTTACTTTAAGTCAATGCCACATACATCTCTGTGGCCTAACTAACAATTTTGTTGTGCAAATGCTTTGCTAGGACTGACAGATGAGCAACTCCAAGAGGCATACTCACACACTGTTTCTAGCACTGCTTCAGAATCAGAAAGGCAGCAATTTTTGTTTCTCAATTACAAAAACTTGTATAGTAGCTAAGCTAAAGAGAACAGAACGAGTTCAGCCTCCTGCAACTCCAGTGTAGTTCTGTAGGCAGGGAACATACTTAATGTCTGAAGGTGATCTAAGCAGTAGCAAAAGCGAAGTTGCACAGTATTTACTGCAACTGCTTCCCCCAACAGCATCCACCCGACCACTACCTGCAAGTTGCCTAGGCCAGCGCGCTATTTCCTTTGCTCTTGAACAGCAGTTATCAACCAATATTGGTAACAAAAACTTAAATGTATTCAACTATGATAACATGGTCTGCCAAATTTTTACTGTGCACACATTAATCCATTGACTTAATGTTGTATGAACTTTTCTAGATTTAGCAAGCATCGCATCACATCATCCAGTCATCCAAGTGACAGCATGTTTTTTTATACAGGTTGAAAGAAAACTCACCTGTGTGGGAATTTGAGAACAAAATCAGTCAGCTGCATGCACTTGAAGGGCATAGCCTGCCTTCTGACACCACTGCAGGGGCCATCAACTAGTGCCTGAAAAAGGAAAACAAATGTGGGGGTTTTGTAGCAGTCTGCCATCGTCGTTGGTTTATATAGCAGCTTCCTAATAATGTATGAACAGTATCTTGACAACAGTGACAAAACTGAAATATATGTTATGCCGACAAAACCCAAGTTTGTTAAGCATCTACAGAGAAAGAATTGTAAAGGCCCACCTTTGTCTTTGGAAAAAAAAACAAACAACTTTAAAAAAGCACACAAAACTAAGGTGACATATTTAATCTTTTTCTTCCTCCATTTTTTTCAGGAACGTTAAGCAAAGAGTCCCCTAACCCAAACATTTACTTTAAACATACATTAATGCCATTCCATTCACAAGTTTTAGACTCCAACTGACATCACTTGTCCACTTCTACTCCTAGGAAACATAGCAGAGAAGGGAATATATCACTCGCCAGTGAAAATACCTTGCCACTTAAAGTTTCAAACACGACAACAGCTGTTAAATCGCATCTTTTTGTCAACCGCTTATTTTTTTGAAAAACCTATTCACAGAGAATCTCCTTTAAACTCGATACACTCTGTCTTAGTGTACAAGCTTCTGTTAAGGTGGCAAGGTACCTGAATAAAGGTACAGCACTCATAGCTTACCCTATTTTGGTCAATGACATCCACGATGGCCACCAGCTTGCCAGCATGTGGCCCGAAGGAAATGAAGGCAACTCTGCCAATCTCGACGAAGCGTTTGAACACCTGGGAGCGGGTAAGAATTGACAGGAGTTAGGCGAGAACATACTTAAGGCCACCGCTAGATTCAAGCCCTTCACGGCCTTTCAAACAGCTCCCCAAGTTTTCGCAGTGCACAAAAAAAAAACCCCTTCCCTCGAGCACAGGGCCCACGGTAACCCCCCTCAACTGCTTTCTGCCGGCGCCGGCCCCGCGTGGAGGCCGCAGGCAG